GACCAGGCTGGCCTTGAACTCACAGCGATCCACCTGCCTCTGCCTCCTAAGTGCTAGGATTAAAGGCGTGTGCCAGCACCACCACCGGGCTCTAGCCAGCTTTCCTTACTTTAATTAACCCGTTTCTTTTCTACATTTTTACCTTGGGACTTTTTACCTTTATTTCTGTATCTTTCTTTCCTTTTTACTCCCTGGCTGGTTGTGTGGCTGGGTGGTTAGTCCCTGGAGTCCCCCTTTCCTTCCTTTTTCTCGCCCCTCCCCTCTCTTATCTCCAGCTTCAATCTCTTTATTCTCTCTGCCCAGCAGCCCTGCCTCTCCTGCCTAGCTATTGGCCATTCAACTCTTTATTAGGCCAATCCAGTGTTGTAGACAGGCAAAGTAACACAGCTTCACAGAGGTAAACAAATGCAACATAAAAGAATGCAATGCATCTTTGCATCCTTAAGGCAAATGTTCCACAGCATAAACAAATATATCCCATCTTCAACTAATAGCAGATGTCCCCTGGCTGAGGAATGTCATACTGAGTGACTACCTGGGCTCTGTGAATGCCTGGCTGAGGACCAACGCTGGTTTTTCTTGCTCAGAGACCACCCGCTTACCCTGGGCATCATTGTCTCCTTGATGTGCCTCTGGGGCTGAATGCCTTCAGGGACGTGTGACAATTAGGGCCCCAGCACAGTTCTCCTCACATTCCTTATCTCCACGCGTCCTTTCCACTACACATAGCTGGCTAGCTTCTGAGTCTTGTGTGAGGACTTGAACCCCGCCCCTCGTCTCCTAGGCAGTCTGCATTGACCAAACCTGCCTCTGTTCCTTCCCAGACTCTCAGAGCACATATACTGCCTGTCCTGACCATGGGTCATTGAAGATACTTCTCTGACTGCCATTGGGGCAAACTGGCCACAGAATGAATTAACTCTCATGTTGTCCTGGTGTGCATGATGCCATTGTCTCTTTATGCTTTCACTGCGCCGGTTGGGGCCTGCAGAGAGGTCCACAGACACTCCTGCAGGGCTGCTGGGACCTGCAGAGAGGTCCATAGACACTCCTGCAGGCTGCTGGGGCCTGCAGAGAGGTCCACAGACACTCCTGCAGGCTGCTGGGGCTGCCTGTCTGCTTTGAGCCGCAGAATGACTGTGCAGGACATTTAGAGAAAGATCAGTATTCCATTTTGCCCTGGCAGAGTGGCAGCTCAGAAAAGTGTCAAGACTTGCCTGTGGTCACACATTAGTGGAGGAGTCAGCATTGGAACTCACCCAGCTTCTAAGGTTAAGCCTTTGGCCTTAATTCTTAGGAAGTCTCTTTAGGTTTGTGCCAGCTGGCCCATCCTGACCTCACCTCTAGCCCTGTAAGAGAGAATCATTTGAAAAAATGTCAAAAAAAAAAAAACCAACAACAACAAAAACCAAAACCACGACTTGGGCGTGCCTGGGGGAGAGCAGATTTTTTTATTATTATTATTATTTTTTATAGACTCTTCAGTTGCTTAGGGAAAAGGGAGCAATGTTGCTCGCTTCCTGTTCAGGCATGATCACATAACCACACTTCCTGTTCTGCCCCCCCTTCCTGTGGACTCGGCCTCCTCATTGTACGATGCCCTGGCAAGCCCAGGGTCCTGCAGCCAGGAAGAAAAAGAAAAAAACAAAAACCCCCCAAAACCAAAAAAACCCCATGGATATCAGGGAGTTCGGCTTAGCTTCCCTGAGACATGACACCGGCTGCCCTGGGGAGTTGCCTGTGGGTCACCAGCTGCTGAGGAGGAAGAAGGTAAACACAGACGGGCTTCCCTGCTGTGGGGAGTCCAGGCCTGGGAGGCTGCAATAGGAAGGAGCTCAACCCCTGTCTGGCAGCTGTGTATCATAACACCCGGGAGCAGGAACGCTGGAGTTTAAATTCTGTGCTTCCTTCTGTTGATTCCCGGGCCTCCACTCCAGCATCCTGTCGGTGCACAGAGAGTGAGGTTCTGGTGGACAGCCACCTCAGGCTCGCTCAGGGCTGGCCATCTTTTCCTGGGTTCAGAGGGAAGTGCGGGCCGGGGGTGGGGGTGGGGCAACAGCAGGCCACACAGGACCGGTGAACCAATAGGCCACAGAGAAGCAGAGAACCCAAACCCGAGAAGGGGGGCTGAGGCAGGAGAAGGCTTCCATTTGCCATCCTTCTCTGCCTGGCAGGACCCCTCCAGACCTGATGGGGGCAGTCCACCCTTAAGAAGATTAGGGATAAGAGCCAGGAGGAGATGCAGGGCCTAGAAAAAAATGCTTAGTGTAGCTGATACTGGGCAGTTCAGAGGAAATGGTCTCTGAGCTCAGAGCCCAAAAGAAATTAAGCCCCTCCTACTGCACAGCACTGTTCGAGGCTCATTTTATTTGCCAATGCTCATCCCTGGAGTGACAACCCCCATCCCCACCAGCATCTACTCAGTGCTGCCTCTGCAGCAGGCTTGGCTCAGGGATCACCGGAGACAAACAACAGAGCCTCAGCCCTCAGGACAAGCCCCACCCCCTGGAGCCTGACAAGGGACACCATGCCAGTGCCAGGTTCTCTGCTTCTTATGCAAACCACTTATGGTGTAAATTCTATTATCACCCTGTCTTAAAGATAAGGAAGCCGAGTCAAGGCATGGCCTTGTAACTGGTCAAAGCTTACAGCACCATGAAAGCTGCATGGTTAGGATCCAAAGTTGAATCAAAGAGATAGACACGAGAAACAAGGCAGGGCACATAGCTGGCTTTCAGGAGGCTTCCCAGAGCAAGGGGCTTTGGCAGTGGGCTCAGGTGGACAGGGTGGAGAGTCGAAGCTTGCCTGTCTTGGCAGAGGCTGGACCAGAGGAAAGTAAAGAGGGGAAGTAAAAGAGATTTTGTTTTTGTTTTTCTTTGAGAACTGGCTGTGTCTAGCCACGCACTGGCTTCTCGGCAGCAGTACTCTTATTAAAAGCCCATTGTATAGATGGACAAGTTGAATCCCAGAGAGCTACCGCCTCTGCTCAAATGCCCACTACTGTGTATTACTGGAGCCTAGCAAGGAGAGACTAAGGATAGAGCTCGGAATTGCCGTTAGGGGCCAGTGTCACCTTCCAAACTGTATGTGTTGCCTGATCTCGGTTTCTAAACTGGATGTTGTCTTGGTACACCCTTGGTGCACGTGGAGGGGGGGCAGGATCTCCCACCTACGAAATGCATGCCCTGGTCTCCACCAGACCACAGGTCTGTGGCAGAGTGCTCCAGTCCCCAGGTGTTTGTTGTTGCGGCTGGGACAGGTGTACCTGGATGCAGGTGCCACATTCTCCGCATAAGCCCCGCGTCTCTACCTACAGGTCTGAGTGTGCTGAGGGCGCTGTGTTTTGCCCAAATCCGAGAAGTCACCCAAAAGTCAACAAAGAGGCCGAGTCCCGTATGTAAAAGCAAAGAGCCTTTATTTTATGCAAGTTTGCAAACTTGGTCTCTCCGCATGTCCAATGTATTGGAATAAACGGAGAGCCCTGAGCTCAGAGTTGAGTTATTATAGTAGTAGAGGTGGGGGTGAGGGGTTTCTGAGATTCAGGACCCCTGATTGGCTGATATTTGTCTAGGGGTGTCCTGGTGAGTGGTTGCTGGGAGGTGATCCTATCTACAGCGGTTGGAACATTAGACATGGTTTGTCCTTGGGTAGTGCTCAGGTAATCTCAGTTTATGGCCCTTCCTGCAACCCGGGATTACTTCAGGGTAAATTACTGAGACTCAGGCCTCTATTAAACTTATCGATGACCGAGTCCTACTCTGGCAGCTGATAATGATTGGAAGAAAAGAACTTCCTTTGGGTGGTCTGTTCATATTTAGCTTGTCATGGCTGGCTCCTACACGCTTCAGACTGATGCTTTGGTCTAGAACTGTGCATGGTTGTGTATCTGTGTGGCCATCACCCGTCTCAGACCCAGGTGAAGAGTCAGCTATGCTGGTGAAGAGCCTTCTCCTGCAGTGGGAACCAACTCGGGCTCCAGGCAGCACCAGGGACAGCTCTGCACCCCCGACACACACACACACACACACACACACACACACACACACACACACACACACACCGTGACACTGATAGGAACCGGACTGACTAGTCTAGGCATTCAGGGGAAGAATGATGACATTGAAGTGCTTTCTTTAGAACAAGGTCTGGCGGTAGTGCTCAAGGACTGTCAACTTTTACAGGGAACTTAGCTTTGCTTTTGCTCCACACGCAGTGGCCACATCCAGTGGTGATGGGGCGGAGGCCCTCAGGCAACCCTGCAGGAAGACAACCGCATGGAGGGACCTCAGGGCCGAAACTCTGCCTGCAGCACCCCTCTTCCCCAACCTGAGGTCTTTTCCCACCTGAATTCCCTCTAGACTGCCTTGCCTAAGGGGGCGTCCCAAGATGACTCTTTCTTTTCCATTCCCAGGACTGGTCCTGGTCGCTTGTCGTGGCCGCTCTTGTGGGAGCCTTCGGATCATCCTTCCTATACGGGTACAACCTCTCCGTGGTGAACGCGCCCACGCCGGTGAGTGCCCGTGCAATCTGCCCGACAGAGGGCGCTGTGCCCACACAGAGACCTTCAGGTCACAAGCCCAGCGTTAGTTAGGTCACTTGTAAGGCAGGAAAAGGGTTGAATGCTTAGTTGATGGGAAGGGTGACCAGTAAAAACAGGGTGACAGTAGAAGAGGGTGTGTTGGGGGGTGGGGGGCGGAGTCAGTTCATTGTCGCTGCACTGAGATATCTTAGGGCACTTGGGCACAGTGAGGGCTGCGCAGGTCTAAAGGGCTTGCGGGCTCTAATATCAATGCAGAGAGTTAAGGAGCCCAGAGCTTAACGTTTTGATTTGCCTTTTCAAATTTAATTTTTAACCACACTCAGAGCCACCTGTTATGACTCATCCCTGGCTCCTGTCTGAGACTGAGTCTGAGATCAATTCCGGGAGCGCTGCCGGTGGTAGCAGAAGGTCTTCCAGAGGCCAGGTTTTCTGCTGCCGGTTCCTGGCAAGATCGAAGAGGCAAGGGGAGTGGGAGAGGCTGATGCTGAGCCCAGGCTTGCAGGTGGAGGGTGGGGCTGAGAGGCGACAGATTCAGAGGAACCTGGGGAAAGGCTCTGAGCTTCGGGTGGTTGGAGCACTGGGCGCGTTGGGGGCAACCTGACACAGATGGAAATCTTTGAGTGCCAACATCCTCCTGTGTTAAATGCAGAGGAACCAAGGCTGGTGGGTCTCCAAGATGGTACAGGAGCCATAGATTGCAGGCTCCATCTGTGTCTGTGTCAGGGCAGATCTGGGTTGTAAACATCGTGTTAATGCTGACAATTGGGGTGCTAGCTAAGTTATTACGAGAATGGGCTCTGATGCTAAAGGCCACTGGGAAAATGATGCCAGGTGTCTTGCAGCTGCCTGCATCTTTGACTTTGCCATTTCAAGACCAGAATCTGACCTTGCTGACTTTGTCTCTGGAAAAGAAAAAAAAAAAACCAACTTGGAATTTGGACTCTTGCTTTGTTTGGAAAGTTCACCAGGGCAGTCACACAAGAGGGTGGGGCCTTGGTGGAAAAGAGATCTGAGAGAGACTTGAACCTGGGAAAGCAAGACATCATTGACCCGCGCACCACAGGGAAGAGCAGATGAGCCAGTACGTTCCACAAATAGCTACTGAGTACCTGTCACATGCTGGATGGCAGGAAGGCAGTCTGGAGGAGGTGGCCCTTGAGCTGAGTCCAGCATGGCCGGAAGCATGTCCACCGATGCCAGAGGCGGAGATGGGCGAACAAAGCACACAGGGCCTGGCTGCCAGGAGAAGGTGGCATGCTGGTAATAGTGGAGGGGAGGCGTGACTTGCCAGGTGTCAAGGGGAATGAGAAGATGAGATAGGAAGAGGGGTGGAAAGTCGAGGAGGCTAGGGTTGAGGCTCCGTGGTAGAACACTTGTCTAACACAGGTGAGGCCCTAGAGTCAATCCCCGGTACTGAGAAAACAAACAGTGAGACGGAAGACACCCCAAAGACTGAAAACATTCTAAAAGAGAAAAGACAGAAGGGAAAAGAAATAGAACTCAGATCTGCAGGCCAGGAGCGTTACCTTGGTCTCTGGGCTCTAGGGAGCCACAGCAGGTTCATGAGGGGAGACCCAAGGAGTTAAGACTCCAATATGGGAATTTGGTGGTGGAGGGACTGATTCCTTGATGTTACCGTCATCCCATGGTAATAAGACAGCAACTCACCCAAGGTCAGCAAGGAGAAGGCAGGTCTGTCTGAATCCAGCCATGACCTTGAGAAGTGCTGTCATTAGCCACCAGTGTCAGGTTCTTAAAGCATAGGGACACTTGGCATGGCCAGCTGGGGGACAGGGTGAGCACAGAGACAGTGAGAGTGGTCATTCTTGGGGCGGGGGCGGACTGAGGATTCTACAGCCTGGGACTCACATATATCGTGTCCTTGCTCTTCCTTCCCTCGAGGTGCTCGCTGGCAGGAGTGACACATGTAAAAACATGATATGAACTCTGACTTTGTTATTAGACAGAGAAGCACCCCAAATTTTTCTCAGGAAGCCTCTTGGTTTATATCACCCATTTTTCTGTTCTGTCTAAAGTCCTGACGTTTCTGTAGTTTTTAAAATACCTCATAACACTTTGTGGGGCATTTACCTTGGCATCATTGCGTGGTCAGATGCCAGGGTAAACAGGACTCATGGCCAGATCTTGGAGGTTCCCTGACACTGGCAGCAATAGACACCCAAAGCATTTCTTGGCCAAAGAGCTGCCTTACTGAATCCATGAGCTTAGGACTGTGGAAGGATCGAGTCTACTTAGGGAGTTTTGAGGAGGCTAGAGTCACTGTTGGGGTATGGTTAAGGAGGTATAGAGAAGAAAGTGGAGCAGAGACTGGATTATCTGAGAAGGCCTCCAGCGGTCAGGTTGTGCATCCCAAGAGGGAAGCCGGACTGAGGGTCATTCAGAAGGCTCTTCCCAATCAGACCTCCCTGGAGCTGGAGCCAGCAGTCTTGCAGAGGGAATCCCAGCTCTTCCGTGGAGTGGTTTCAGTGGGAGCATGGTGAAACCTCACCTGAACTAGCTGGGAGATGGAAAGATATTGGAGAGCAGGCTCAGTGTTCAGTGGTCCCTGGCTTATCTCTTGCCCCATGGGAGGGGTAGGACGGGGAAAATGAGGCCACCAGAGGGGCTGGGAACAGAGTACACTCTCCATGGGAGGGTGTCTTGTGCAGATGGGAGCATGGCTGGAGGTTAAGGCACAGGGACCTTGTGAGGGAAAAGGCAGTTCAGGGAGGAACAACTCACACAAAAGCAGAAATGTCTGGAGAGGGTGGCAGAGATTGCACCAAGGGGAGCCGAGAGAGAAAAGTTGCATCTGTGGACAGTGGCTCAAACACAGTGGCACTGCCTCCTGAGGTCAGGTCACCAGTGTCAGTGATGGGACACTTGAGGTCCAGGTGACAAGGCCCAGAGGGAAACCATGCTTCAGCTGCTTACCAAGAGGGAGGCAGTGTGTTGCTGCTTAACCAATCCACACAGTAACTGACCCTGGACCTGACTGTCACCCAGGCCTGACCTTAAGAAGTTCTTTTATTTCTGATATGAACACACACACACACACACACACACACACACACACACCGCACGCACACACATGCACACACGCACACCCACCACACTTGGGCTCTGGTTGATCTCGCCAGGGTTCACAGTCACACATTCCCTCTTCCTGACCATTCTGCCAGGGGTCTCAGCTAACCCCATGTGATAGCGGTCAGTGTAAGCCAGTATGTCTAGCTTCCTGGAGGAACCATTGTCCTAAGTTCTCCCTCAATGCCATTTCTCTAACTGAACCCATTCAACCTGCTTTCAGGGATTGCCAGACTCTGACTGTCCTGTCCCAGAGCTCCTTTGGCGAGAGCACGCCCATGTGAGTTCTTGTGTCCACAGAGGGTCTGTGGTCACGTCAAGGCAGTAGATGTGAGCAGAGCACATATGTAAGAGTCACTTGAAGCTCTCACCTTGAAGAACCCCACAGGCCCAGGAAAGCTGACACACAACATTAGAGCTTACCCAAGCTTGCTTTAAGTTGTCACTGTCTTTAGCCATTGAACCTGCTGAGGCGGGGGAGGCTCTAATGAGGTAGGGATTGACGGCCATGATGGCTGCCAACTTCTTCTCCTCCAGTTCTATCTGTAGTCTACCTTGCTCATAGAGCCATCTAATGAACTTCTCTGTTTCCAACCGGATCCTAACAGTTTCTCCTCCACTTAGAGACCAAAGGGATATTCAATAAATTAGGGTGCCTCAAAATCCACCCACCTGTCCATCACACTTAGAAACCCACACAAATCTCCGTGACTGCACAGCTGGGGAATCCAGTCCCTAGTTAGTGTTCTCAACACAAGAAACTTTCTCCTCACCTCTTTCATCCATTTGACCTTCAGACACCACACATGCCGGAACCACATGACCTTTGCACTTTCTGCTGATAGCTGGTGCTTTCTCTTCGATTACCAACTCCCTCTTTTTAAATCTGTCTTCCTCAGCGACACTTTCCCTGGCCTGCCCCTGTGGAGCAGCACCTCTCCATGCCTCTCGAGTCCTTCCCTCAAATTATTTCCCCTTGTAGTACTGGTCGTATCTGACACCACCAGAGATGGTAGGTCTTTGCTTCTTGTCTCTCTTCCTATTTTAAAATTTAAGCTTCGTGAAGACACAGGTCTGAGAGCTGTCTCCTCCCGTTATATAATCCTCTGTAGTTCTGGGATTAAGGGTGTGCACCACCACAGCCTGGTTTCTATGGCAAGCTAGTGTGGCTACTGGGATTAAAGGTGCATGTTACAGCTGCCTGGTCTGTAAGGCTGGCCAGTGTGGATGTTTTCTTTTCTGATTCTCAGGCAAGCTATATTTATTAAAACATAAATGAAATGCCACTACATGCAGGCTCTCTGATCTCATTGCATCTGCAGTGCCACCATTTAGGACAAGACCCAACGCAAAGCGAGCATTTGCTGCCAATATGCTCCCAACAGATGGAAAGAGAGACATAAGGGTTCTAAAGGATTTTTTTTTGTTTTATTATTTTTTTGGCAAGTTAATTTTTGGTGGTTGTGAGACAAGTTTCCTGGGCCTCTCTCTCCCAAGCAAATTGCTCTCCACAGTGTGAGTCTGCCCTGTGTAAGAATTCAGGTGCTGTCCGTATTATGTTCACAGGAGACAGACGCAGGTCTAATCATCTAGTGACCCATCTTCCTGCTCTCTTACGGTGACCTGCTACAGGGTCAACAAACATTGATTTGTAAAGGTCCAGACTACATATTTGGTTTAGCAAGGCCATGTGGCTCCTTTTTTTCTGTAATTCTTCAACTTTGCCTTTAGGGTGAGAAAACAGCCAGAGATAAAATAGAAATGAATAAGTAAAACTGTGTGCCAATAAAACTATTTGCCAAAGCAAATATTGGGCTAGAAATCCTGCCTAATCTTAGGGTTCTAAGAGAGAGTGGATGTGGCAGCGGACTTCTGAGGTCTTA